AGGCACCAGTCGCCCATGCTGCTATTGATATTTGCTTGCTTTGCCTGTAACCAATGCTACTGGAACAGCCTTTCCTGGAAGTTATCAACATAGAACAATGGCTGTGGAACATCTGAATCATAGTATCACAGGACTAGAGATCACAAGGACTACCCAGTTCTGTGCACAGATGATTTGCTACTTCTAAACCATCCCAGACAGATGTCTAGCCATCAATCCATTTATTTGCTTGTGGTTGTTTAATTCACCATGAAATTATATGAATCCACCAACAGTAGTTCTTGTTGGCTTAAGAATGATATTTAGAGGTTTGTTTTGGGGGAATTTGCTTATAGGTTGTATTTATATATGTGCATTAGAATAATGGCTATAGCAGCAAGAGTTAATTGATTTTTAATAGACTGAGTCTCATACACAGGCTTCCCAGCCTTCAGAAGCAGACAGGGTGTCTAACCTAGGCAGGAAAACAACAAGGCCACACATCCTGGGTAACTGAAAACATCCAAACTTTATTTTCATGATAGAGATAGGCCTGGCTCCAGGGCTGTAGTGCCTGCTTGCAAAAAGCCTTAAGCTTTCCGGTTTTAGGGGCACAGAACAAATTAGAAGGACACTGATAAAGCCCCAAATTAAGATGTGGGCATGTGATAGGTTTATGAAAATGGAGTTTTGGCTGACAATACAGGACATGAACCATGTGACAAACACAGAGAGACCACCCAGCAACAGCCACGGATCAAGAGTCATCAGGAGAAGAAAGAATACAAAAGGAAGTTTTCAAAACAGCGGGGGGAACAGTTGGCATCAACCCCTGGCCTCCAAGGTTGCTGATGTCAAACACTCAAGCAAAGAACCTCAAGGTGGTGTTTATGTACCAGCTGGACAGACTGCTTGCCTTGTGTATATTCTGGGACTGGGAAATGTGGGTAATGTATGTTGTACTTGCTTTGCCTGCATTGCTTTTATCTCTTATCACTGTGTATCAAAAAATTTGCCTATCATCAACCGGCAGGGGTTATGGTCGATCTGAGGGCTGTGCTTGCCTGGAGCAAACGTATCAGGGCTGGGTTGTGAATTCAGTGCCAACAGTTCTACCTAGCACCCATTCCTCCAGCTACTTTTGAGAATGACATGTGGGATTACATCAAAAGCATAACTGAAGTCCAGGTGTCATAGTAGCTCCATTCCCTTTATCCATAAACAAGTTACCCTCTCAAAGAGGGAAACTGAGTTAGCATGGTGTGATTTATTTTTGACAAGGCCATAATGGCTACTAATGGTCACTCCTTCAGGTGATCACTACCTCCAGATATTTACATCTTCAATGTGTGTAATTTGCCCTAGTAACTTCCTAGATATTGAAGTCAGACTCACTGGTCTTTACTTCCCCAGGTTCTTTTTTTTCCCTTTATAATTACATTAGTCCTTCTCTAGTCCTATGAGGCCTCACCTGTCATCTATATTATGCCAGTGCTCCTGATATTTCTTAAACTAATACAATCAACATCCTAGGGTTAATTCTGTCAGACCCCACTGACTCATATTCATTCTTCATTATTTGTCAAAAGTTCTCTGACGTGCTCTATACTGATTACAATCTGCAGCCCTTCCTTTTCTTTGTTGATAATTTTCCTAGTAGTCTGGTCATATTTTATTTTCCTTGTACAGAATGAAGCAAAGGAAGCACTGAGAAGCTCTTCCTTCTTTCTGTCCTTCTTGAGCAGCTCACCTTCTCTACGAAGCAATGAATCCATAGTGTCTCTGGTCTTTCTTTCCATCAGACATAGTTGTAGATCATTATCTTGCTGTCTTAAATATTTGTTGCTGGTTGTAACTTGTTTTTCACTTTTGGTTTCCTGATTTTGTCCCTATATGTTCAAGCTATTCCTTTGTATACCTCTTTTGTGACACACCCTTCCTTCCACTGACTGTATATCTCTTGATTTTCAAAAAGCTACAAAATTCCTTGTGTAACCATATCAGTCTCCTACAGTTCTTACCTTCCCTCTGCATTGGAATAGTTTGATGTGGGCTTACAATGGAATTGTCAGCACTCTTGGACTCTTCCTTTTAGTCTGTCTACAGGACCTTACCTGCTATGACAGGTCTTAGTGTCTAGTCACTGTGTACTGACTTAAGATAGTAACATACTTCTAGAGATAAAACTGACATCTTTGCAAGTTAACCAGCATCTCAAAGGGTATTGGCTTGGATATGTAGCTCCTCCTTTAGAGGCTATGGGATTTTGTCTTTCTATTGAAGAGTCACAGAATAACTGTGCAATAGGCCATTAATGCAAAGAAAGACACTGAATAGAACTGAGTCTAAGCAAGATCACTTACCCAAAAATGGTATGGGGAATGGCCAGATGAGGTCACTGGCTACTGAGCTGAAGACATGTCAAAACTGCCAGAGGGAAGCCAATTATACAACTTTCCAGAGAAATGCTCAATCCACCTTCCAGAAAGACTATTATGGAGAATTATTGCAGTTGCACAGAAGCATAGCTAGTTATTTCTATACACTGGGCAAAGCACATGAGGGTGCATTGTTCCAAGCATGGGAGAGCTGAGGAAGGGTGTGCCAGGCAAGTCTTACCTGCTGCACTGTGGGCTCACCACACTTTGATGGATGCTGCTGTTACTGAGATATGGGCTCAGGTTGCTGTGGTACAGGGTCCCCACACATTGACTGTGCTCCCTCTAAATTGGCACCCAGGGCTAGTGCCATACTTGTCAAGTCCTGGGTATACTCCTATGATAGCAATCTGGGACTATGGACTTGGAATTACTTTCAACTGCTGGCCAATCCTCATGGAAAAATGGACTTTGAAAGAGCAGAGTGTAGATCAACACTGTTTAAGAGAGGGGTTCTGCTCTGGGGGAGGAACTGGCCATCACTATATATAAACAGGAGGTACAGGAGAAAAGGGGCATGAGGGGCAATGCCCAGCTTGAAATATGTATAAACCTCAGAGTACAAACAATCTGACTGCTGGAAGTTAAAAGGGTTAGGGACTTACTCCAGAAGGGCTGATGTATGGTAATGGGTTGTGTACCTGCTAGGGGTGCACCAATAGAGATTTTTGGGGCTGATACCAATACCCGAGTTTTAAGGAGGCATATCAGCTGATACTGATCCGATTTCCAATACAGCGTGGAGAGCTGCCTCCAATTAGTAAATCCATTGTAGTGGAAGGGGAGAGGGGGGCAGATCAACCCCTCCCCAACCTCCACCCCACGAGGAGGGAGGGGACAGGGGCAGGGGCAGATGTTGCTCAGCTGGCACAGGGCAGGGCAGGGAGCGTACCCATCGCTTATGGGGAGGGTGGCTCCCACTGGTGCACGCACCCCAAGAGGGCATGGGGGCAGGACATATGCCCCTGGATCTGCGTGGGGCAGCAGGTGGGCTGCAGCTGTGGGCTGGAGCCAGGGCTGCGCAGGGTTCTTCTCACCAGGGCTAGGCTCGGGGCAGGGGCTATGGAAGGGGCTGCAGCCACCCCAAATTTTACCATGGTGCCATTCCCAGAGCAGCATCGGCTCTTCCCAGCACGTGGGTTGAGTCAGAGGTTGAGCTAGGAAGAGCCAGGGCTGTGCCTGCCTGTCCCCTCCCTCACCATGGTGGGAGAAGTTGATATGCCCCCATGACCCTTCCATTGCCCATCCCCTTCCACTACAATGGACTTATCAGCTGGAGGCAGCTCTCCACGCTGCTTGGCTCTGCTCCCCGCTGCCTGAGTGCTGTGCTGCGGCTGTGCATGCGCACGGGCATTTATCGACCCCAACAGGCCGATTTCCAATACAGCCAATTTTCTTTATATCGGTACCAATCTGATCTCAGACTGATGTATTGGTGCATCTCTAGTACCTGCTGCTCTTACTCTGTGGCAAGTCAAAGCTAAATAGCAATAGCTAGAGCTGTTTCAGTCAAGGGGAAGGTGTCCAAGTTTAGCTTTCACTTGCATATGACTTTGTTTCCCAGATGTCAGTTGCTCCACAGTAAGACTTCATCCCCTTTTATTTTGCTGCAATTGGATCATTTGTTCATCTCCTGAGACTTACAAAACTAGGTAGCAGGCTAAGGGAAGGTATGTTTTCAAAGACCCATAATTCTCTTTAATAAGAAAATGACTATGGTCAAGACAGCCCTCTGTCAAGCCTATGACCCTTGCTTTTCTGTGATGTGACCCCTGAAGGGTTTACACTAGGAAGGTGAAATGCCTACTACCCAATACAGAGCTCTGTGGGAACATGTCTAAGTGTCTGGGAGGTTCAGGAGGTCTCAGACGCTTATTTCAACATCAAAAGAAGCGAGGCAGTGGCAATGTACCAGTGAAGGTCGTCAGATAAAAGCTCTGAGCCTAGAGTTGTCCCAGGAGTAGAAACAGCACCTAGATTCCACACATAGCCTATCAGTGTGGAAACGTGGCACCCAGTGTGTAGAACATAGGCCTGGAAGATGACTCCTGGCTCAGACCACAATTCCTTGCAGTGGTGTAACTAGAGGAGGAACAGCTACTGCTGCAGCCACATGATCATGCCAGAAACATAGCAGCAGCCAAAAATTGCCAATCCCCCATGTGTTGCAGGTGTCCTGAGCACCCAGCTGCCTTGTTATGCCTCTGACACTTTACTATATAACCCCAGTCAGAATTCATCAAGTTCCATTTTAAAACTAGTTAGATTTCTTGCCCCACCAGTCCTCCTGCGAGGCTCTCCCAGAGCTTCCCCCCACAGCAAACCTTTTCTAATTTCTGTCTTCAATCTTTTCCTGGGCAGTTTATACTTGCTTGTTCCTATGCCAACTTAAGCTATTTAAGTTATCCGTCTCCCTCCCTGGTGTTTACCCCCACAGTTGTATAGACAGTAGTCAGATATCTTCTCAGCCTTCATTTTCCTAAGCTAAACAAGCCAAGTTCTTTAGTCTGGGGGCATAACAGCTTCCCCATTCCCCTGATCATCCCAGTAGTTTTTCTCTGCACCAACTATAGTTTGGCTTACATTTTTTTCAGAGCATGGGCAACCTGACTTATTCCAGACGAGGGCTCAGTAGTGAGGCCTTGCTCACTGACTTTAATGCTTCTCCATCTTTACTGTAGTTTGCCCGATACATCCTATGATCACACTTGCCCTTTTCACGACATCTTGTCTGTGGGCTCATCATCATCCCACAACTAAGTTCTCTCTCCTCTGTCACTCCTAACTAATGAGATCCCATCCTTCAGCTGTGATTCGAAGGGTCAGCCGCTGATCCCGTGGCCCTGCACTTGGTGGTATTTCATCTCATTCGAGTCCTCAAGGTCAGCCTTCCTGGGCCATACCCAGTTCCTCCTTGGGTCAGTGATGCCTCCCAACTTCGTCATCAGGCAGTGCCATCAGCAGGCTCTTACCTGCTGGGCCCAGATCATCCATGGAAACGTCGTTTAACGAGAGCAACCCCAAGGCGGATGTGCCCCTCTCGCCTCCCGCGCCGCCCCTTCCAGCAGGGCCCTCGTCTAGCGGAGCCACCAGAGCTGCGCAGGGCCAGCACGGCACGCCTGTCCCGGGGCCTGCGGGGGACAGCTCTCCGCCTCTCTGTTATTAGAAGGGGCTAGCGAGGGTGTAAGACGTGCAGACTTGGGGCAACGGAAGGGAAAACAGGTACATGAGCGGGACCCCACGCTCGCAGCGAGTGCTCCAACAGGGGCCCGAGCGGAGCCGCCGCTGCCCCTCCCGCGGCGCCGAGGATCAGCCGGAGGCGGGTCAGCTTCGGC